GGTAGAAGAAACGAGTGGCACTAGAACAGGCCGGCAAGGAAGAGGGGAGAGCAGATGGAGGCAGACCCCAGTCAGAAGGCCACTCCCTGCTTTAGATGGGAGGAAAGGAACAAGGCTGCATGTGGGGAGAAACAAGGCAGGCAGGACCCAGGAGGTATGAGCACCCCAGTGACAGCCTGATTCTCTCCCTGGGTGCAGTGCAACAAAGACTGGGAATAATCTTGAGGTTAGAGAGGAAGTGGACACGCAGAAGGATGGCCAAATCCAAGAAACTTAGTTAACTAAGAAATAGTGCTTCAGAGCTCAGCTTCAGTGTGCTTCGGAGCTCAGCTCAGTTTAGACACCAAGATTAACAGAGGACTGGGGTTTTGCTCAATAAGTACACCAGGGTGGCTGGTGGCAGAGAGTCTGGATTGGACCACAACTTTGAAAATTAACCCTGGGTTACAGTCTGGATTCAGAAGAGATGCCAGACACAGGCTGATGAACTGGAGATGAGGAGGAATCCATATCTGGCAATCACAGTGGAGTGGGATGGTGAAGAATCCAAGGGACACATAATTACAGTGAAGAGGGCAGGTCCAACTGGACTGAAAAAGCAGTCAGTTTCTCCAAAGAAACCACCCCTCTGCCAACCCTGTCATCTCCTCGTCTCTTCCTGTCCCTTAGACAAGGGAAGGGCCTGAAGTTCTGTCCTCAGCTCTGACTCTACTCACCAACACTGCAGCTCTTACCCACATTCACCACCTAACTCCCACCTCACCATGTTTAGTCCAGCTCCAAACTCTACTCTCTAGTGGCCCCTGTGTACCTCCAACTGAACTTTGCAGACTTTGACCTTACATGGGTCCAAGACTGAACTCATCTTTCCCCCAAAACAGCTCCTCCTTCTGTGTTGGTAACTGCATAATCTACCCAGCTGTCTAATCCATTAACCAGAGTCTTCTTCAATTCCTCTTCCTCCCCATAATCCAATAAGCCTGACTGAAACCACCTACMTGCCCAAACACCCTTCAAATCCTTCCCTCTATCCCATCCATTCTCACTGCTAGTATCTTTTTTTAAAATATTTATTTTTTAATTTTAGGAAGATACAATATCTTTAATTTATGTTTATGTGGTGCTGAGGATTGAACCCAATGCCTCACACATGCTAGGTGAGCGCTCTACCACTGAGCCACAATCCCAGCCCCTCACTGCTAATATCTTAATTGGGCCTTCGGCATCTCCCCACTGGACTCTAACTGTTCTCTCTGCCTTTCCTGCTGGCCACCTTCTTGCTTTGATCTAAATGTTTGCTCATTTGAATCTCCCAGGGAACCTTTAAAAATATCAATTTCTTAAAAAAAAAAAAGGAAGGAAGGAAGGAAGGAAGGAAGGAAGGAAGGAAGGAAGGAAGNAAGAAAGAAAGAAAGAAAGAAAGAAAGAAAGAAAGAAAGAAAGAAAGAAAGAAAGAAAGAAAGAAAGAAAGAAAACAGATTTCTGATGTCCACATTAGCCCTTCTGGATGTGACCCTGGGGATGGGACCCGGCAGGTGTACATCCTGAAAAGTACCCTGGTTGCTATTTTACTGCTGAGACAGGTAGCATTTAGAATCACTTCACCATCATCAATAGTAATTTCCTGTCTTCCCTCCTGGAGCAATGAGCAACATGCCTGCCTTGGGCCTGTGATGGTGATCACCTTCTTCTGCTTCTCAGGMCGTGGTCCTATCACTCATTCCTGTATCTTCAAGAGATCTTCCCCACTGAGTCTTTCCCAATAATGAACAAGCCAAAGTTTCTCTCAACTTAAAGCAAACTTCCCTTCTCTGAGGCTCCCACCACTGCAACTCCTTCAAGGTCCTTCAGGACTGATACTCTTAAAGGTGATTCCCAAGCTTACTGCCTCCTTTTTTTATTCTACTCATTCCTTGGCCAACCATAATCTCACTCACTTCTCTCCCAATTACTGGATAAGCCATTCTGGAAAGGCCCTAGATTTCCTCTTTCTTTCCAAAAAGGTCACTTTTAAGTCCTTTTCTGGAAATCTCTGCAGCATTTAAGGCTATTAACCACTCCTCTGGAATTCTCTGCCCCTTGGCATTCTCCCACCTCCTTGGCCAAGACTCAGTCTTTTCCCCAGCTCTGCCTCTTCTCTCTCCTCAAATGTTAAAATGTCTACAGGTCTGTCTCCATGTCCCATTGCCCTCTGGCAAACTCACCACACACCATAGAAGCTGCCCACTACAGCCATAATCAACAACCCCCAGAATTCTTTACCAGGCCTTGCTCCATCCCCTACAGAACCTCTCCCCACTGTTATGCCTGACAAAGTCTTACTCCTCCCTCAAAAAAAAAAAAAATCATGCTAAGTGAAATAAGCCAGTCTCAGAAAATCAAGGGTTGAACTTTTCTCTCAAATGCAGTACTTAGAACAAAATAAAGGAGAGAAGGAAGGGAGGATCAGATATCATCAAGATATAGGGAAGATCAGTAGAGTAGAAAAAGGATATCAAGAAAGGAGGGATGCAGGCTGGAGCTAGAGCTCAGCGACAGAGCACTTGCCTACCATGCGTAAGGCATTGGGTTCTACCCTCAGCACCACATAAAAATAAACAAAATAAAGGCATTCTGTCCATCTACAACTACAAAAAATAATTTTAAAAAAAGATAGGAGGGATGGAAAGGGGAAGAAAATGCAGAATGAATTTTTAAAAACCATGCTGCATGCATATATAAATATACCAGAGGGAATTTCAACTTTATGTATAAGTAGAAAGAACCAATCAAAAATAAATAGATAAGTGAAAGGAAAATCAGTAGAGGATGGAAAAGAGAAGAACAAAGAACTGAAATTAAATTCTAAGCATGTACAAATTTGCCAAGATAAACCCAACTACTATGCATAATTTTAATGCTCTAATAAAAAAAATGTATATATGTGGGCTGGGGTTATGGCTCAGTGGTAGAGTGCTCACCTAGCATGTGTAAGGCACTGGGTTTGATCCCCAGCACCACATGAAAATGAAATAAAGATATTGTGTGTCCACCTATAATAAAAAATATTTTTTTAATTGTATGTATGTACATTTGTATCAGCTGCACTGTGCAGTCTGACAACTGTGCCTCCCCCCAGCAAGCCACCCATTGCAATAAACCCACTACACTACCACTGCACTGCCCTGAGCACAGCTGTTCTTTTCTTTTTTTGTCCTCCTCTCAACACTGAACTCTGAGAACTATACCTGGATACATAAAACATGGAATTAAAATTAATGTTGGTTGAGTGCATCATTGCACAGTGAACATTTGAAGTGAATAAATAATGGAAACACCAATGGAAATAAATGTAATAAATGACATATGTTACTCAACATAGAGTTGAGTGCCAGCATTACTCTGTGAGTAGGAATCTAATATGAGTCATGAACACTGCATGCATTTTTACCAAGGCATAACTGCATGATGGGTCAGAAAGCAACAGTTTCAAAGACATGGTCACAAACGCTCTTGCCCTGATTTACTGCCCTGATTGAAGTTTTCTTTGGTAACCTGAAAGCACCCTGTTGCACCTGCTTTGCTCTTTGTGCTTGGTGTTCCCTTTCTTCAAAAGGAATTTTTCTCAACAAACTCTGATGTGGCTAGCTTCTTCACACTATTTGGTTCTCAGTTCAAATGTCACCTTCCCAGATATCTTCCCTGACCGCACATGTTAAAGCTGTACTCACATAACTTCCATTTTTGCCGTTACATATTACTATGTAAAAGCATTTTAATCACTTGTTAACCTATGTAATGCTGTTTCTACCTTTTTTAATCACATTATCCTGTTCATGAACTATATGGGTATTCAACAGACGCCTGCTGAGTAAATGAACGAGGAGAAAGTAACACAAAAAATGGGAAATACTCAGGTGCAAGAAGTGGTAGGGATTTCTTCCTTAAAAAAAATTGTTGTTCTCCTGAGTGCAGGGATAGACCAATGGATTAGCCTTCTTTAGGATAGTCAGAAACAGAACTAAGACTTACAAATTGGACATATAATTTCATATCTAAAGAAAATCACTTTGCCCCCAGGGGGATCTTTACTAGAAAAAATAGTCAACATATGGTTAACTGTCCTGGAAAAATGGCCTAAACGCCATCGTAAGCACTGAACACAGGACCAAGACTTAGTCATCACTGTGTTCCTGGTACCTAGCACAATTCACAGCCCACAGTAATGCCCAAACTATTCGTTAAATAAAACATGGCCCGCTGGGGTTATGGCAAGCACTCTACCGCTAAGCCTGTGTGAGGCGCTGGGTTTGATCCTCAGCACTACATAAAAATAAATAAATAAAATAAAGGTACTGGGTCCAACTACAATTAAAAAAATATTAAAAAAAAAAAAACATGGCCTGAAGAGGAAGGGTGATCCTATCATTCCTATACTGCAGAGACATTTATTTTAGACACAGGACAAGATAGCTGAGGAGGAACCCTGGGAATAGGCCTCTCCCCAGGCAGCAGTTTGTTTCCTAGAATTCACCTACCTGTTCCATAGGGAATAAAGAATTGCCTTCCCCAGAGTCACCCTGCATCTAATTTGGACACACTTTGTCCATGTAATCTAATGGCTAATATGGTTMAGCAACTAATAATTGATTTCCCTCTTGCCTTTTTAATTTTTTATAYGTCTTTTGATTGGCAAGGATAGCTCAAAATGCTGAACAACTAAAACTGAAGGATCTTACAGTTAATTTCACATCTACCAGTGTAGTGCAATCCCAGGAAAACCACATTACCTTCCTGAACTGTCAACTTCATCACCAACTGTAAGTTCTTCATCCAAAGGGCAATTTGAGAAAGATTAATTAACTAATTTTTGTAATGGACTCTGGATCCAATGATGAAAGACTCCATAAATCAAATTATAAAACAAGGAAAATCATAAATGTTAAACTCACTTCAAAACCTAAAAAGTTAAGAAGTGAGGAAGATTTAAAATGATGCCTGTGGTGGAGACAATAACTCACTCTCAAGACTTAAAACAGGTATCCTCGGGCTGGGGTTGTAGCTCAGTGGTAGCACTTGCCTCGAAAGCATGAGGAAGTAGGTCCGATCCTCAACACCACATAAAATAAATAAATAAAACAAAGATATTGTGCCCATCTACAACTAAAAAAGTGTTTAAAAAAACAAACAGGTATCATCAGAAAAAGATTCATGATATTCACAGTAGAACTTACTATTTGGAAATGTCAGGCTTTTCTGTGTTCTGGCAACATCAACTACACATACTAGCAGTGATGAGCGACTGCAAAACTATAGCTGTTCAAACAGTTCAGAGCTGGTGTATCAGTGTCTAATCTCCGCACTGTTCGCTTGACACACTCCACTTTATCGAAAGGCAATAAAACAATGCGGTGTGAAAAAGTTGTTTCCAAGGCTGTTGCACACACCTCTCTGACCTCCGCCTGCTGACCACCGCTGACACTCCAACAAAATTCAGCACACCCAACAGCGAAGTATACGCTCTCTGGCCAGATGACTTCCTAACTTCCCTCCACTTTAAAGTATTTTTGTTTGTCTAAAAACTCCTCAGGAGGACTGAGGAAGAAGTGTACCTAAGTAAACTGAGGGGTCGGCTCCTGAAACAGAGGTTGAATTCTGCACGTGGGGGTCCCACTGACCCTAAATGAATGGGGAAGGTGACCGTGATGGGGGCAGGCTTCCAGCACCACCTCCACCCGGACAGCCTCTACTCTCAGCCTGGCACCAAGCCGCCAAGGGCCTGAGGCCGGGCCACGAGAACACGGGGCACCCAGCCGACCCTAACTGCCCGGCCCACCTGCAGCAGCCGCTGGGGCTGCCGCGCACCGCACCTGGGGCTCACGATGGGGGCCGGGCTGGCGGCGCGGCTCCGGGACCACTCGCCCCTCCTGGCTGACGTGGGGACGAAGCCCGGGGACCCCAGAGGCAGGAACGACCCAAGTTGGGGCGCTGGGATGAAGGGCCGGCCCCCCAACCTCCTGCAAACCCGAGGATCCCCGCTGCCCCCAGCCTCAAGGAGGTGCCCAAGGTAGCGCGTAGGCGGCAGTCAGGACGGCGGGGGCCGGTACTCACAAAGCCCACTGGAACCGGTGCTGGTAAACATGGTCCCGCCGGGCCCGGAGCCCCCGCGGGGGTCAGGGGGAGGGGAAGCGGAGGTGGAGAGCCCCGGAGACGGCGCAGGCGCACTCCCGGCGGGGCGGTGAATCCGGCGCGACGGAGCCGCTCCAGGGTCTCCGGGCGAACGGCGCATGCGCGTCCCGTGGGGCGCACCCGCTCCGCCGGCGCCCGCCCTTCCTGCCGCGGAAGGGAAGTGCGTGCGCCGCCGGCGGGGATCCGGTGTCCGGGTTCTTCCGACGGCTGCGGCGCCGTTAGGAACGGGTGAGGGATGGCGCGGAGTACGGCACTCGGCGGCGGCACTTGCATACCCAGCGCCGTCCCACGCCCCAGGAGCCGCGATGGCTCCGGATTCCTCTGTAAAACACAAGCTCTGGGCCCTCTTCGCGACCTCTCACCTCCCGGAGGGGCTCGGGGCGCGTTCCACGCATGCTCCGCGTTTCTGGGCGGGTTGCCGGAGCTCACGGCGCGGACTCTCATCGACGGCGAGCCGCACCTGCCCTCCGGTGTCCCGYGGCGTCCGGGAGGCTGTTGACGGGAAGGGAGCCCGATGAGACCATCCGTGTGGTCCAGCTCTCTGTGAATTGGGAGCGGTACAGCGCGCCTTTTCTCCCGTGTCGTTGCAATTTTTTTTCCCCTTTGTGAGATGAGATGACGCGATTTTTCAWGGGAGATTGAGCTCGAAAATTACTCAGTCGTAAGAAATGTTTTTTACTGGCAGTGTACCCCCCTCCCTTTATCGGGCCGAGGAGCGAACTCGGCGCCTCACACGTGCTATAGGCAAGCTCTGCCGCCGAGCCCCAGCGGGTTGAAGGTTTGCCGGAACTCCTGGGAGCTGGGCGGGCGGTAATCCCCGCCGGGGAGGCCGAGGCCAGAGGATCGCCTGTGAGCCTCGCAGCTCAGCGAGACCCAGCCTCCAAAGAAAGGAAGAAATAACATGTGGGGGAATTGACCTCAGTAACCTCTAAATGAAAAGGACAGGGTACAGTGGACAACATACTTTTTTAAAACGGTTTCTTTTTTGGGGGGGCGGGGGGGACCTTAGGAGTGTTAGCCAGTGGCTAAATCTGGAATTCATAAATCAGTAAAACACAACCTGAGAGATTCTAGTGGGTCAACATGTTCACATTGATTATTTCTGGAAGGCAAAAATATAGGTGATTTTTATTTCCTTTGGGTGGAATTTGTTGTTTGTCTACAATCTCAAAATGAGTTGCATACTTAACTTTAGGTTCAGGTTCGTTCAGTTGAGTTAAATGAACTTATTGGAGAGTTGAGGAAAATAATAGTCTAAAGGTCCCTGATGTTTGGAGAAGTTATTGATTGGCTACAAAACCTATAGCCAATATAAGACAGTAGTTCTCAAAAGTACGAATGGGGCCCCTTGACCCATTCATGGGGTTCAAAAGACAGGATTATATTCTTAGTGATGCTAAGACATTTTTCTTTTCCACTTTTGTTCACTCAAAAATATGTAACAGCTTTTTTCCACTGTACAGCTGGAAAAACTGCATAACTTTGTGAACAAAATATCCAGTGACCAATGCCTAATGTTATGAAATCATGAAAGAGCCATTTGACTGCAAGATAAACAATAAATTTCAGTGTACACAGTACAAAAAGTTCATTCATATGGTTTCAGGCTCCTCATTGCACTTTAAAAAACTACCACCAGCACTTATCTGGGCATGGTGACGTACAGTCATAATACCAACTACTTGGGAGGTTGAAGCAGGAGGATTGCGAATTGGAGAGGTCAGCCTGGGCCATACTAAAAGACCCTGTCACAAGAAAAGAAAGAAAAAGGAAAAAAACTTGTAAAATTATGGTGCAGTATCAGTATGGGTATCTGAAAAGACTTAAAATGCTTGCTTTTCAACTCTATGTGAAACAGGATTTTCTTCATAAACTTCATCCCAAAGAATGCATTGCAACAAACTAAAAGCAGAAGCAAATAGGAAGTTCCAGCAGACTTCTGTTAAACCAGACATTAAAGACATTTGCCAAAATGTGATGTTCTTCCCCATAATTCTTTGCTTCATAAGGTACTGTGGCATCAGACTGGATTGAAAGTTGGCATCAGATTGAATGTATCTATAGGACGAGACTCCCCCACCAAATTCATCTAAGAAATGAACCCATCATGATTAAGTGAACCCCTTTATAAAGAAAGAGTTGACAAAGATGGAGACTTTAGAATTTTAGGAAAAGCTTATATTGACAAATTGTATTAACATATGAATATGTAACAGTGAATCTCACTTTTATGTATAACTGTAATGCACCAATAAGAAATTTGGAAAAAAAAATACCAGAAAAAAAAGAAATTTAGGGAAAGCTTAAAAATTATATTGTCGGGCCTGGGGTTGTGGGTCAGCAGTAGAACACTTGCCTAGCATATGTGAGAGCCTGGGTTTGATCCTCAGCACCACATAAATATAAATAAAATAAAGGGATTGCATCCAACTACAACTAAAAAATATTTTTTAAAACTTTTATTGTCCCTGAAATTTGTTTTGAAGTTTAATCTGATATAAGGTCCTGTTTCTTACAGAATAGCACAATGATAACAATATGTAATAATCTAAACAAAATTGGATAAAATATTACTGGGTGTGGATGAGGTTATTATTATCATGGCAAGAAATTTAAATTACTTTATTGGGCAATGATATATGTAGAAGGATCTATATGAAATACAAAAAGGTAGGAAATCAGCTAAGAAATGTGCTGTCAGAGTTTTTGTTACAAGTGAATTTAAGTAATCTGAATAACAATGAAGTTTTGCTGACAACTAATGTATGGTTTGTGGAAAATGAAAACATTAAGTGGAAAATTTATTTCCAACTGTACAGACAATGGATACTGAGTTGCCAAAAAGTGAAACTCTTAAAAATTATTCCACAGGAAAACTTTCTTCCTTTTTCAATATCATTGTGCAACAGATGGAGCAGCAGTTATGATCAACTGATATAGTGGGTCTATGAACTAACTGAAAAGTAGTAACAGTTACCAAGCAAGCCAATGAATTATTCATTGACAACTTCAGTCACCAAAAAACCTAAAGACCCACAAATTAACGAATGTTATTAGTGCTACTAATAAAATTAATTCCAATATTTTCATTAAAAGATCATTTTGTAATGTTTGTGATGACTATGAAGAGTTTGTCTTGTCTTAAATAGAAAAAATAGATAACTTTCCATAGAAAACTGTTTTTAAATATTCTTTAACATGTACAATTTCTTTCTCAATAAATGAGAAATTGAATAGTGATATCAAAATAATATTAAACAATCAGTTACCTTTTTATCATTATGACCAAAATACCTACAAGAACTTCTTAGAGGAGAAAAACTTTTATTTTGGGCTCATGGATTCAGAGATTTCATTTATAGTCTGCCAATTCCATTGCTCTGGGCCCAAGGTGAATCAGAAGGGTGAGGTGGAGGAAATTTGCTCAGCTCCTGGCAGCCCAGAAGCAGAGAAAGAAAGAGGAGTGCCAAGGGCATTTGCACCCTTCTAGAGCACACCCCCAGTGACCCACCTCCTCCAGCCACGCCCCACATTCCTACAGTCACCACACTCAAATTCATCAGACTAGATCTAAAGCTGATTAGATTACAGCTCACAATCCAATCATTTCACTTTGGAATATTCCTGCGTTAACACAGGAACTTTTGGGGGACAGCTCAGATTCAAGCCCTAAGAATCGTAATACACACACATTTAGTTAAGCTACAAGCAAGTGAGATTAATATTATTGAGGAGAAAAGAGTTATAAAAAAAGATTTTTCAATCAATTATTTTAAGAGAAAGTTGCCCCTAATTTTCACAGTTCTATTGTCTGCAGCAGGTAAGACTAGTTCTAAGGCCACTGGGTTGGCACTATATTGCTATTTTTAACATGTATAATGATTAAATCTAGAACAATATGAATTTGTGATACCAGGTGATATGATTAATCCACTTGAAAGTAATGCAACATAGTAAGCCAAGCTTGCAGGAAATGTTAATTAAGCTAAAAAATTATTTAGGGCACAAAGGAATTACTTAATTACAAAAAGTATCGAATTCAGCTAAAACTTTCATCTGTCCTTTAAAATGAGAGCAACATTATTTAGGATAGTATTTCCAGCCACACATTTAGGTGAAAAGGGTTTCAATGCAGTGCAGCCATTAGGGCAAAAGCAACAAAATGTAACAGAACATTTGGCATTCTTTTAACAGTTTTTAGCACCTCATTAAATTCCACCAATAAAATTAAAATATTTCATATTAGTGCTACAAGTTTCAGTTTGGGTCTTTCCTACAGACATGTGAGTAAGCAGAAAGGTGGCTAAGAGGTACACTTGAGAAGGGTGCTCAGAGGTGACAAAGACTTGGGGATGTAGTGGGGCCCCACAGTACCTCCTGCACCAAGCTGCCTGGGCTCCTCGTGGTTTTCTACTACAGTGATAGGAAAGACATGCTGAGAAACTTAAATATGGAAGTTATGGTGTGGGGATTTGAAGAAGAGGGAGGGGGTTGTCCAACTCCTCACCCAGTCTTCCTGAAGCACACATCTTAGAATCCACCACTTTGTCTCGAGAGCCTTTCCTCTTTCCAATTCTTTTTTTCCCCATCCTTTGCAAAGGATGTGGTCTGCAGGGTCTTTTAAATTCAGGAAATGAACAGATGCCCTCACAGATGGTGAGATTTCACAACAGGAGTCACTTTATCACTATCCCTTAAGAACAGGGAAACATTTTCAAGCCACTTGTACAGAGTCCATCACATGTGTGAGACTACTGTACTTCCTCATCTCAATCTACAGTCTGCTTTTTGCTGGAGATAAGTGATTTCCCTTTATCACCCCATAGGCAGGCATGTCTCATCTGTTGGCACCAGATGTGTGTTCACTCATCTTACACTAGTTTTTAATTCTGCTATGCATCATACCTTGGCTCTTTCCTCTTTCTATTCGTGGTGCGGAGGCTTCTGATCTTCTTACATTTTATATATAAACTAACATATTTATAGGTGGGAGCAGGCATTTTCTTCTACATCATCACACCCAAAGAACTACAAATCAAAAGATGTATAATTTTATTATAAATTTTCATTTGTCTCTTCT